ACTACAAAAATGTCAAAACAGAACTGACAATAGGGGCTAATTGTAAAATTTTAAAATTTTCTGATAGGAGGATAATTTTTGCGCCACCTGTTATAAGGAGGTGATATTATATGCGATTAATTAAAATTGAAATATCCGAGAATGAATATTTATTTCACAATAATACATCTTATTTCAATAGAAATAAATGTTTAAATTTAGTTGTATTTCCAGTTTTCTGCATTACACTCCCCGATACACTTCTCATGTTCGTGAGAACCCATTCTCTCTCCCTCAATATCACAATAACGAAGATAAAATACAGACACCATTTGTAAGGTTATTATTATTTTTCTCCAAGATACTCTACAAATAAATGGCCATTGGTAATATACTCCCCAAGAGAGAATTATGTCGCATAGACAAACACCCGCACACACCTACACATACATAATAGAAATAAAGATGCAATTGTCTATGAAACAATGTTTATTTGCAGAATGTCTGTTTTTTATATGGTTTCTTATGTCCATCCATCGGTGGACAATAGCAAAGGAGGAATACAAATAAAAAGAGGAGGGAATTAATAATGGAACAAAAAAAAATAATTGCATTGACCGTTAACAGCAGAAATAGTAGCAACTCGAATGAAAGAAGATTTTTCTTTTATTGGAATTCTGAAGCTTCGGATGTTATCAAAGAACAAAGAAAATCGGTGTCTCACAACTTCATTTGAACACATTTGTTATGTTCCTCCTTGGAATGGTTTTTATTACAAATGACTTGTCAATAGGTAAAAGGAATGTAAGATTTATACATGCATATATATATTTTCACTTGTTCGAGCATACTGCAGTTTATTATCAGGATGTAGAAACCATAATTAAAGAAATCTATAAGAACTAAAAATTGGAGAGAACATAAATATGAGGACATCCATACATACCATATTGCGCTTATAACACAAGAATGGCTGGACTGACTTTGGCAACTCACACCAATTCGGAACGGGCAAAAAAGTATAACTTAAAAAATCACGTAAAAATATCCTCTTTAAGACATGAAAATTGTTTTATAATTTTGTCATTTATATATTCGATTCCCGATTTACAGGGTGCGATGAAAAAACTGCAACCAACTTCAGATTGCTCTCATTGCTAAGTCCTTCGTCCGACAGCTGTTAAAATTATTCCAGTGAAAGCTCACTATATTGTTCACAAGCGTAAAAAAACATTTTGTGAGAATTTTGCAGAAAAAAGTTATTCGTGATGGAATTTAAGCGTGATAGTGTGAATTCTTTATATTTGGCTGGAAAACCACAAGTGGCTACCGTTAGAGCACTCCAGCATTTAAATGTGAATAAATCTTTTGTGTCTCGTACCATCGCTTGTTACCGTGATGCTGGTAGCGTAGAAGAAATGGTTCGAAACGACTTGATGGAAACCCGTGTCGCAGTTGCCGAAAAATGGCTCGTGAGCTGCACGTATTGCAATATTACATTTGGTAAATATTGAAAAATGAGCTCGGGGTAAAGCCATTGAACTTCCAAAAAGTGGAAGAACTTACACCGCAACAGAAAGAAGATAGAATCGAAAGAGCAAAAGGATTGCTTCGCTTGGCCGAAGGTGGCGAATTTCCGAAATTGTTAGTTTTCCGATGAGAAAACATTCGTTGTCCAGCAGTTTGTAAAGAAACCAAATGATCGTGTTTACATGCCAAAGAGGTCAGCTGAAAATGTGCACCTTCGGTTGGCCACCAGAACTCAAGCGCCGGCCATGGTGATGGTGTGGGCCGCCATAACGGACGACGGTTGCTCTCCACTCGTATTAATCGACCGTGGCATCAAAATAAATGTCGAATATTATCGCGAAAATATATTTTGGAGGGTGTATTAAAGCTTTGGGCACGCAAACATTTTGGCCGCAGATCTTAGACATTCCAACAGGACTCAGCACCATCGCATTCAGCATGCGCCAACAAAGAAATTAGGTTCCTCGCTTCATTTCCAGCGTACAATGGCCACCAAAGTCTCCGAATACCAATCCGTTGGACTATTGTGTCTGAAGTATTTTGGAAAGCAAGGTTGGCACTAAAAACCTAAAGCAAGCGCTTCGCCGCGAATGGACCAGAATACCGCAGAGCAACATTCGGGCAGCGTGTGACGGTTTCATTAGCCATTTGAAGGCCATAATTCGTGCCAAAGGTGGCCAATTCGAACAAATCTAAACTTATTCTAAAATTTGATGCTATTTCCGACATTTTTTGCCTTCAGTCAATAAAATTAAAAACAAGGGCTATAGTCGTGCGGGGCCGACCATGTGATACCCTACAACACCATAATATGTTAGAAGCACCCTTATGTCCAAATCCATTTTGGAAGACTCCGCTTTTGAAATTATGTAATAGAGCATTGCCCAGATATTACCCTTAGTTTCTTGTCCAGGGGCATTTGCCCAATATTTAAGCAATTCGTCTGTTGGTCCATTCTATAGCTAAGTATAATCCAATGGTCATCCAAAATGCTAGACTTCTTCCTTGTCCTTAACCCTCTTCTCAAGCAAAATTCCGTAACCATTGGTTTCAAATGTGTGATCAGAAAAATTTTCTGTTTTTGGTTCATTTGAACCCCTAAATATTTTGCGATCGTCTCCAAATGCAAGAGGTTCCACTGCATTGCCAAATTTAGACTAATCTTCTCTATGATATTTGGCAATATTCGTCAACGAAATCAGCATAAAAAGCCAGAAGTTCGCCTTTTGTGTATTTTGGATTTCGCCTGTAAGTTATTTTTAAGCGTTTTGGTAGAATGGAAATGTTGGTATTTTTTCACACAAAAGTAGTGGTTCATTCAACCCGCTGTCCTAAACTCTAACTTCATGCGAGATTTTGTGTACTGTTTACTTTGGTTTCTATTTGTGACCTTTATAACGGCTGCAAAATCAGGAAAAAATTTAGTTGTTGGTCCATTTCAACCCCTAAATATATTGCGGACATCTTTGAAAACAATAGGCCTAGCCCTTCTGAGCCTAACCCTACCCTTATGAAAATTTTCTTGAGGATCGGACGATAATTGCAATCTGTATATAACCCCAACCTGTGCTGTAAGGTGAAAAAATATTACAAAATATACACTTCAATATTATGAGTCAAATTGAAAAATATTTCTGCAATGGTCATCCAAAATGCTAGAATTCTTCACTGTGCGTAACTATCTTATCAGGCGTGTCGATTGGCTTCAATTGTGTTATCATGATTTTTTTTCTGTTTTTGTTTCATTTGAACCCATAAATATTTTGCGATTATCTCCAAAAGCAATTTGGCTATATTCGTCAACGAAATCAGCATAAAAGAGGCAGAAGTTCGCCTTTTGTGTATTTGGGATATCGCCTGTAAGTAATGTTAGTATTTTTTCACACAAAAGTAGTGGTCGATTCTAACCGCTGTCTTAAATTCTAACTTCATGCAAGATTTCGTATCCTTTGGTTTCTATGTGCGGCCTTTATAACGGCTTCAAAATCAGGAACATTTTGAGTTGCTGGTCCATTTCAACCCCTAAATATATTGCGGACATTTTTGAAAACAATAGGCTTAGCCCTTCTGAGCCTAACCCTACCTTTGTCAAAAATTTCGTGAGGATCGAATGATAATTGCAATCTGTGTATAAATAATAATCCCTACCTGTGTTGTGAAGTGCAAAAATTACAAAAAAAATTACAAAATACACTTCAATATTATAAGTCAAATTGAAAAAATCGCATGCGATAAAAAATATGAAAAAAATAAAAATATGTCACAAAATACTACAAAATCTATATTAACATCATTATTGCGTTTTTTTTTTTTTTAGATTTCATACTTTTATGCCAAGAGGCCATTCTGAATTAACAAAATTTGTCAAAATCGCTCCAGCCATTCTGGAGATATAAGCATTCTAGCTAACATCCCCTTCCTTTGTACATATACATTGCATATATTTCGCTATATATATCCGATATTTTTACTATCGGCATCTACGTAACGGTCAGAATTGACTTGTTCGTCTATTTCTGATTTCGCCGTCATTAAAAATATTCGCGGTTTAATAGAATTTTTTTAACACAAATGTTATGGCCTATTTCACCCACTAAATATTATCCAATGACCATCAAAGTTGGAAGGCTTCTGCCCAGCCCTAAGCTCTAGCCCCATGCTAACTTTCGTCGTTTGGTCTATGATTGCGACCTGTAGAGCAACTGCAAAATCATGAAATTTTTCAGTTTTTGGTCCATTTCAACCCCTAAATATTATGCGATTATCTCCAAAAGCAATAGGCTTCTATTCTGACCCTAACCCCACCTACATTTTCAATTTCGTGAGAATCGGCCCATAATTGCGACCTGTAGAGTGATTAAAAATTAACATGGACAGACGGACGAACATACATAGCTAGATCGACACAGCTCGGCGAGATAGGAATGTGGGAAACCAATATTTCGTGGTGTTACATAAGTTTTGGCCCAATCAAACTTATAATATCCCCAACACATAGTGTTGTAGGGTATAAAAATTAAAATTATGGCGTTTGACTTTGTTGCAGTTTTTTTTATCTTACCCTGTACTTATTATGAATAGATTTGAAGGAATCTTTATACGAAAATTTCCAAAAATATGGAAAGGGTGAACTTTTAGCTTACTTTACGATGCGAACAATCAAAACGCCGATACAATACCAATACCTATTTTTAGCTATTTCAAATCCTGTTAGATTTTTTCATCTTATTATTGAAAAAAATTTAATTTTGCCGCAGGGTGTAATATTTTTGATATTTATATACATATCTATTAATGTTCCATTTCAAACCCACAATTTTTAAACTGGCCGGCCATTATATTCATAACCATGATTTCATAAAAAATTGTTCGTTCATTCATCACGATCATTCAAAATAATTTTTCATTTGATTTGAAACCTGCTATTCGAAACTAGCAATTACTTGCTCAATAATCGGTTTACTAGTTACTATTACAAAACCAAAAGGCAATTTGTTTCTATACATTGCAATCAAGCTTTGTTGTTAATTTCAGATGTTTGTTAATTACAAGATTTACAATCCATCATACATAACAAACAATTGTTCGTAACATTAACAAGGCTCTATAAATTCAAATGTGTATCTAAGAATTACAATTTATAATTACTAACTACGAAGATTGTTAATGACCCTCCGCAGTTGGGCTCTGTATTTTCACAATTAACTAAATTTAAAATAATTCTCCAAGTGGTTTTATAATCATTTCATGAATTTGTACATGAGGAGGTGTTGAAATAGCATACAACACTCCCGATGAAATATCTTTGGCCTTCAACATGTTTTCACCCATAAGTTGCCTTGCATTCTCGGGTACAATATCCGTATCCACGGCGCCGGGACTAATGCTCTATTCAAAAAAAAAAAAATAATTTCAATATTAATTTAAATTCCCATTATCTGAAAACCTCTACAACTTACTGTCACTTTAATTTTGGTATCCAAGCCCTTAAATTCCTGTCGGTAAATTTCGGTCATTGCTGTAACGGCAAATTTTGATGGACAATATATATTGGTGTCAGGTGTTCCGCCAGGTGCCACAACTCCATGACCGGCCACACTGTTGATGAGCACAACATGGCCGGGAAAACTACGCTCTTTCATCGAGATGAAAGCCCGTTGGGTACAATGAACAATGCCCATCACATTTGTTTGGAGGATTTGTTGGATCTCCTTAACGTCCATATTTACCAATTGACCTTGTTTCAAACACCCAGCATTGTTGACCAAAATATCTATGCCACCAAATTTGGCAACAATTGTATCGAAGGCTTCATTCACAGATTGCATATCGGAGACATCACATGGCAGGGCAGTTAAATTTCCTTGCTTCTCTGGCGACAATTGGTCGCACAAAGCCTCGACACGTTCCAATCGCCTGGCCAAGCCCACAACTTGAAGACCATTTTCTATTAAATCCAAAACAATGGCTGCACCAATGCCTGAACTAGCACCCGTTACAACGGCCACTTTATTTTGCCAGCGTTCCATGACGGATTATTTTTGTGTCGATTGTTTTCCCCGTTAGTCGAAATGAACGTCCAATCGTTTCAATATCTCAATTTATACTAACACAGTTTCGAATCATTTACATGACAGAATGATCGATTTGTTGACTAAAATGACGAGTGTAGATTTTTCTCACGGTAAAATTACATTTAATAATAAATATTTGATAATTAGAAAAGTTGTTAATCATTGTGTCCGTATAACTAATATTAGATTACTACATGAACATATAATGCACTCCATTGATGAATTTATTTATCAAATGCTTCCGGGGTAGGTTCTATTAAAGTGGGGAGGTGTTTCTAAATAAGTTTTTTTTCTGGAATGTTTTATTTATAACACTGTGCGACAAAATTATTATTTTTTTTTTTTTTCAATAATTACAAAAAAAGTCCAGTAGATTATGAAAGTAGATGTGTAATTTGAAGACAATCGGACACTTACATCACATTTTATAAGAGTTATAATTATTCCAAATATTGTCCCCTTGTGGTGGAGGTACGTGATGGAGTGAACCGATATTGTCTATTTTCGCACTTGACCTAGAATTCATGCAAATATTAGGATTTGCAACGTTGTAGAAAAATCGGACTATCCCTTGCCTTTCTGTGCATTAAATTATTTTCTTTGAAAATTTCGAACTTTTGTGTGGGAGTTACTAAAACGACTGAACCAATATTGTCCATATCCCTACTCGATCTTCAGGGCGAGATGAGAAGACTGCAACCAATTTCAGAATGCTGTCCTTTCTAAGCCACTCGTCCGATCGCTGTTAAAATTATACCAGTGACAGCTCATTATATTGTTATACAAGCGTACAAAAGCATTTTGGTGAGAATTTTCCAGAAAAAAAGTTATTCGTTATCGAATTCAAGCGTGATAGTGTGATTTCTTTATAATTATTTGGAAAACCAAAAGTGGCTAACGTTAGAGTACTGCAGCACTTAAATGTGAACAAATCTCGTACCGTCGCTCGTTACCGCGTTACTGGTAGCGTAGCCCGACGTCAAGGAAGTGGACGGAAGAAAACAGAAAGAACTGCAGATATGGTTTGAAAAATAAAGAAGCGACTTGATCGAAATCCGCGTCACAGTGCCCGAAAAATGGCTCATGAGCTGAACCTATCGCAATATTCCATTCGAAAAATATTGAAAAAGGAGCTCGGGGTAAAGCCATTGAAATTCCAAAAAGTGCAAGAACGTACACCTCAACGGAAAGAAAATAGACTCAAAAGAGCTAAAGAGTTGCTTCACTTGGCCGAAAGTGGTGAACTGCCGAATTTGGTTTTCTTTTCTCCGAAGAGAAAACATTCGTTGTCCAGCAGTTTGTAAACAAACAAAATGATCGTGTTTACTTGTCAAAGAGGTCAGTTGAAAATGTGCACCTTCGGTTGGCCACCAGAACTGAAGCGCCGGCCATGGTAATAGTGTGGGCCGCCATAACGGCCGGTGATCGCTCTTCGCTCGTATTAATCGACCGTGGCATAAGAATAAATACCGAATATTATCAAGAAAATATTCTGGAGGGTGTATTAAAGCCTTGGGCACGCAAACAATTTATCCGAGAATAATTACAAAATGAAGTTCCTCGCTTCATTTCCAGCGCACAATGACCACCAAAATCTTCGGATATCAATCCCTTGGACTGTTGTGTCTGGAGTATTTTGAAAAGCAAGATTGGCACTAAAAGATACCAAAGTGTCGATCACCTCAAGCAAGCGCTTCGTCGGTAATGGGCCAAAATACCGCAGAGCAACTTTCGGGCAGCGTGTGATGGTTTCATTGCCCGTTTGTAGGCCATAATTCGTGCCAAAGGTGACCAATTCGAACATTTTTCCTTTAATTCAATAAAATTTAAAAAAAGTAAAAACTATGGTTTTTGGCCTGCTCTTCAAAACTTGCATTTTCAAAACAATATCCATATCTCATCCTCAGATACCAACAGAGAATTCGATGTCAAATTTCGGTTCCAGCTCTATACATTTTCCAAATACCTAATTTAGTACCCATTAGTACTTTTCGAACAATTATAGTACACATTTCCAAAAAACCTCCATTTCTAATTTTTTCTCATTTTTTCCATAAACTCAGCGTGGAAATTTTCAAGATTTAAGCTTCAGCCGTCATTTCGTCTGGTCATTGATTCTAAGTCAGGCCTTTATTTCACTACTCTTTTATATCTATATAGACTTATTTGTTCTTGCATTTCTTCAATATTCATTATTTCTTTATATATATATAAATAATTATTTTTTTGTCAATAATTTTTTATAATTTTTTAAAAAACTATTAAAACATCTCTCCAAGAGGCTTTATAATCATTTCATGTATTTGCACATGGGGTAGTGTAGAAATGGCATACAGGACGCCCGATGAAATATCTTGAGGCTTTAACATGGTGTCGCCAATTAACTTTTTTATATTATCGGGTAGTATTTCCGTATCCACAGCACCGGGGCTGATACTCTATACAAAGAGAGAAAGGGTGAGAGAGAGAGAGGAAAAATAACAAATGAAATATCTTTTCTCCACAATATCCTTTCCACTTACAGTAATCTTGATTTTAGTACCCAACCCCCTAAATTCCTGCCGATAGATTTCAGTTATGGCTGTGATGGCAAACTTCGATGGACCATACATGTTGCTTTCGGGTGTTCCTGGCAGTGATTTAAATCCATGGCCAGCAATACTGTTAATGAGTATAACATGACCGGGGAAATTCCGTTCTTTCATGGACTTAAAAGCCCTTTGGGTACAATGCACCACTCCCATGACATTTGTTTGCAGGACTTGTTGGATCTCATTTATGTCCATATTTACCAATTGACCTTGTTTCAAGCAACCGGCATTGTTGATCAAAATATCAATTCCACCAAATTTGGCAATAATTGTATCGAAAGCCTTATTAACAGACCGCAGATCGGAAACATCACAGTGCAGGGCAGTTAAATTTCCATGCTTCGCTGGGGGTACAGTTTTCAATATGTCTGTTACACGCTCCGACCGCCTGGCCAAACCAACAACCTGTAATCCATTCTCCAGTAAATCCTTGACTATGGCTGCCCCAATGCCTGAACTGGCTCCCGTTACAACAGCAACTTTATTTCGCCAACGATCCATTGCTGAGTTTTTATTGTTTTTTTTTTTTAGTCACTAAATTGTTGCTCGGCCAAGCTAACAGTTTGAAATCACAATTTATATTGACAAAAATATACATTATAAAGTGAGTTGCATTTCATAAGAGAAATAAAAGTAATCAAAAAAAATGTAGATAAGATAAAGACAATTGCATTTTTTCAAGTCAATTTCATGTGATGTAACAGTGAATGACATGGCAGATTTTTTGCAAGGTGTTAGAAAACAATGATGACGTTACTTATTTTTCAAATATCGACAAGTAGTCACAACTACTGAATGCATTTTGAATTTGTTTGCAAACAGATTGAGCTGGTCTGGAACACTTATAATACTTTACCGTTCTATTTAGGGTGGATTTAATAGCCTCTTACGCTTACACTGTACGGCAAAATTCAGTTTTTTTATAATAAAAGTAGGGTCAAAATTGGCCCAAGTAACCAAAATAAGGCGGGCGGCAAGTTCCTCCCACTCAGTTCAGGATCAGTTCATTTTAGGTATATTGTGTGTTCGGCAGATAAAAACAAAAATCGCCAAGCAAGATACAAAAAGCCTTTCTTGTATTTTTTTCCAAAATTTGGGTAAGAACTCCCTTTAAAAGGAATCGTAGAAAGTCAACATATTCTACAAAGTGATTTGCCATAAAATTTTACAATAGCTCTCAGAAGGCATCAAAAGTTTAAAATATTCTTAAGAGTCTGGAATTATTCCTCGTCTTTATAACTTTTTTTTTGCCTCTTCTTCGTCTGCGAAACATCTACAATGAATTCATAGATTCGTTTCAACAGTTCGGGTTAAGTCTTTTTTATACCCTCAGCTCATGGCTACAGAGGGTACGGTCAAAACGTACCTAGTCGAAATAACGTTTTTATACCTTAGATCTCTTTGTTCCCGAAGGGAGTATCCGATTTGGTCCTAACTTGGCACATCATAGTATTTTTAGATCGAGTTCGGAGATGAGCAATATCGGTCCACTCCTTCTGTTACCTTCCCCACAAAAAATCGAAATTTTCACAAATATATTTTCTGCACTGAAAGAGAAACGATAATCCGATTTCCTCCAACTTTGCAAATCCTAATATTTGCGTCAGTTCTCGGTCAGGTGCTAAAATGGACAATATCGGTTCACCTCCCACACAAAGTGTCAAAATTTTGAACAATTATAACTTTTATAAAATATGATGTAAGAGTCCGATCGTCTTTAAATATCACACATCCCAATAATTTTATTAACCCAAGGTATGGTGTTAAGATGGAAGGCATCGGTCCACTCCTTCTGGTATCTCCCCCACAAAATATCGAAATTTAGATTATCCATTAAGCTCATAAAACGCGAAATTAGAATCCGATTTCATTTAGACTTGGCACATCTGAATATTTCCATCAACACAGGATTTGTTAAAAAAAACGGTAAAGATCGGACCATTTCTTCTGGTACCTCCCCTACAAAGGGTCAACATTTTGAATATCCATAAAGGTCACAAGATCTGTTGTGAAGATGGGATATATCGGTCCACTTCTTCTAGTACCTCATACCCCGAAACAAGTCGGTGATTCTTTACAACTTGCTATATCTAAATATTTCTCTCAACCAGAAACCTGAGATAACTATACCATACCTGTATTAGTTGAAGCATGAAAATGGAATACTTCGGTCGACTATATCTGGTACCACCAGTACCAGTCTGTCGGCAGAACCGATTGCTACTTTTTAACTTGTTTAGTACTCAAAATGCACCATTTGGTTCAGTTCCCAAAGTTTTTTAATAAGAACTTCATACAACGTACTAAATTATCAGACATTCAGTACTTTTCGTACAATATGCATATGCATATTTTCGAAACCTCCAAATGTCAAGGTTTAACCTTAATACCAAATTTCAGATTTTAATAGCTATAGTTTACCCAATACCAAATTTTACCAAATATAGTTCAAATTAGTACTTCTCCAACAATTATTTAGTTCAATTTAGTACAATTATAGTGCACATTTCCAAAACCACCCTCTATCCCAGATACCAACAAAGGCATCAATATCAAATTTCGGGATTCCAACTCTATGCCTTCACCCAGTACCAAAATTTAGTACTTTCATATTTCCGTAACTACTTCCATATGTCTTGATTAAACATGAACAGCGATCCTAATATCAAATTTCAGATTTCAACCGCTATCAGTACACTTAATACCAAATTGTACCAAATTTAGTTCAATTTAGTACTTTTCGAACAATTATAGCACATAATTCCAAAGCCACTTCCATATCTTATCCACAGACACCAACAGTGATATCTAGATCAAATTTCGGGATTCCAGTTCTATGCCTTCACCCAATACCAAATTTAGTACCACCTAGTACTTTTCGAACAAGTATAGTACACAATTCCAAAAGCAACTCTATATTTTAAATACAGACTACAATGACATCTATATCAGATTTCAGGATTTCAGCTCTATTCCTTCATCCAATACCAAATTTAGTACTATTTAGTACTTTTTGTGCAATCATAATACACATTTCCAAAACCACCTCCATATCTTAATTCCACATACCACCGTAACTCTCAGTATAAAATTCCAGGATTCCGCCCCTAACTCTTCACTCAATTCCAAATTTAATACTATTCGTATAAATATAGGACGCATTTCCATATGACCTCCAAATCTCAAACTCATATAGCATCAGTAATCTTAATATCAAATTTCAGGATTTTATCTTTATCCCTTCTCCCAATACAAAATATAGTACCATTCAGTACTTTTCGTACACATTTCCAAAACCACCTCCCTATGTCCAGGGTACACTAATTCCAAATTTCCCTATCCATTCACCCTAAACCAAACCGTTTCAAATTTAGTGCCACCTTCATGTAACAAACTTACTTTCCAACCTTAATGCTCATACCGAATTTTAAGTTTTTAGCTCTATCCGTTCACATTATACCAAATGGTACAATTTTAGAAGTTTAGTACCATTTTAGAACTTTTCGTAACCTTATAGTTCGAATTTTCAAAAAATCCTTTGATATATATCTATCCTGTAGTCCATCAGTGTCCCTCATTCCTAATTTCAGAATTCTGACCCATTCGTTTGTCCAATTTTTAGTACTTTTCCTACACTTTTAGTATGAATTCCCAAAAAAAACCCTTATCAGCCTTATCACACGCCCACCAAGGCTAAACGTCGCGCAAAATTTCAATATTCTAATTTCAGCCAGTTCGTCAGGTCGTGGATTCTCGATCAGTCAGTCGGTCACTTATTTCATAACTCTTTTATATATAGACATATATATAATAGGTATATATTTTCAATATAAAGACACATCCTTTCAGAACATTTCTCCCACTGGTTTAATTATCATTTCATGGATTTGGACATGGGGCGGAGTGGATAGTGCGTACATAATACCGGATGAAATATCTTCTGCCTGCAAAAAGCAACCATTGGCATATTTTCGAATAAAATCGGGAAGAATCTCTGTATCAACTGTGCCAGGGCTAATACTCTATAAAAGGAGAAATAAAAAATTACACATTTTAAAAAAAATATTTCACAAATCTCATTTCGTCCCATCACCTACCGTAACTTTAATCTTGGTACCCAATCCCCTAAACTCTTGACGCAGCAGCTCGGTAATGGCAGTTATGGCAAATTTACTAGGCGGATAGATATTGAATTCGGGTACCTCTGAACAAGCCAACACCTTGTGTCCTGCTATGCTATTAACCAATACAACATGGCCATCGACTTTACGCTCTTTCATGGATTTAAATGCTTTCTGTGTACAATAGATGACACCCATGACATTCGTTTGGAGAATTTGCTGCATTTCATTCACATCCATGGTGACCAACTGGCCACCCTTCAAACAGCCAGCATTGTTAATGAGCACATCAATTCCGCCAAATTTCGAAATTATTTTATCAAATGTTTCATTTACTGATTCTAGGTTAGAGACATCACATTTTAAGGCCACAAGTTGGGAATTTTTATCATCCGGTAATTGATTTTTCAGCTCTTCGATACGTTGAACTCTGCGGGCCAAACCAATAACCAATAGACCAGAGTTAACCAGATCTTTGGCGACAGCCGAACCAATACCCGAACTCGCACCAGTAACAACGGCCACTTTATTTTGCCAACGTTCCATTCAAAATTAAGTTTCGAAAAGCTGCAACAACCTCTGTTTTCTCTGAAACTCAAATCCAAACTGAAAATATTTTGTCTAGGCTCTGTATCACAAAAAATAAAATGTAATTATAAAGTTGTCAAGTCATAGACATCATTAATTAAGTCTAGAACAAAACAACGGCGTAGATAGAAGGAATCAGAATTTACAGGGGTCACCAGTAAATACTTGATCTGTTCAAATAGAAATTACAAAAAAAATGTCTATAACCTTGAAATTCCAAATTTAAATTCTTCCAACGCTCTCGTATTTCACCTATAAATAAGCGAAACAAAATATCTATTATATGTTAGTCCAGCTGTGTACTTAATAATACACCTATCATCGATCACATTTGTTGTCTTCTTGGGTAATTAACAACACGAAAGTCTATTTTTTTAAATAATAAATATAAATAACAAAAAAAAATATTCGAAAGTAACATATTTTAAGGAATAATAAAGAAATCAGAAGAGTGCGGCCTTTGTAAGATGGCTTCATAACAAAGAGCAGTAAAGATTTCAAATGTTCAAATGACGTCTTATCATTTGAATCCATTTTTTAAGAATATTTTTTAAATTTATAGGTTAAAAAAAAAAACTTTTATAAGATTGGCCAAAATCGTGCAATTTTTCAGGAACTCCTTTAAATTGAATTTTTTAGAGAAAATTAAAAAAATCTTGGATTTTTAAAGAATTCAAGGTCTTCCTATCAAGAATTCGTGAATATTTTAAAATAATTTTTTGGGACCACTTTGGACGCGAGGAGTGATTTTCAAAATTCTTTCTTTCAGTGATTGCCTGGTCAAGATAGTATATATTTCTAAGGCCTTTCTTTCCAAAAAAAACATCGAATGTTAATGAAAATATTTTCAAAAATATATTTCATGTTAGTCCACTTTTCCCCCGATGACGGTACCTCCCGATTCTCAGTCTTTTCATGATTTTGGAGACATTATTTACCGAAATTATTTCAAATTTCGTATTTGAAGTTCGTAATGGGTACTACAGCCTATGACAAAAATTTTTGTATGCAGATCCGCGTCTTTGTATGTTCCCCATATAACGGTACCTTCCGATAGTCGGTATTTTGATGATTTCAGCAACATTATTTTCCGGAATCGTTTCAAATTTCGTATTGGAAGATCTTTATGGGAACTACAACCTACGGCAAAAAAAATTTCGTCCACGTCTTCGTATAGCCCCCATATGAGAGTACCTCTTGATACTCAGTATTTTGATGATTTCAGCAACATTATTTATCGGAATCGTTTAAAATTTGGAAGATCTTAAAGGGTACTACAACCTACGGCAAAAAATTTCGTATGCAAGTACACGTTTTCGTAGGTCCCCCTATAAAACGATACCTCCCCATATTCGATATTTTATTGATTTTAGCGACATTATTCACCGGGACTGTTTCAAATTTCTTATGGGCACTGCAGCATCTGACAAAAAGGTTGACACCTTCGTATAGTCCCCATATATAGGTTTTCAATTAAGTGGTAGTTTTCAGATTTTTTTTTTTGTTTTTGAAAAATTTCAATTTCCTTCCTAATGGAGGGGGGTATTAAAAGTTCGGCCTGGCCGAACTTACCTGCTTTTTATACTTGTTTTTTAATAAAAACTTTACCATAGCCATTCTGGCCTAATATTTAAAAGAGTATCAAAAATTCGTAAATTCGTGAAAAATATTTTTCATAGACTTCCTTCCCACGAATGGTGGATTTTTAAAAATAAATTTACAAGAACTCCCTGTTCAATATAGATAGGATTTAAAAATTTTTCTTTCAAGGACTTAGTAGCAAAAATTCTTGGATTTTTCAAAAATAGAAGTTGATTTCTTTAAAAAAAATACTCCCAAGGCATTTCATGGTAAAACTTATGGACTTTTCAAGGATATACAAGGGGTTTTTAAGAAAATTCTTCCATGGACTTTTTTGTCAAGAACTTTGGGTAAAAAATATATATTTTTCAAGAATTGTTGATTTTTAAAAAAGTTTATTAATTTTTTAAATTAAGTTTACAAGTTAAGTAAATCTTTGATTTTCAGAAATTTGCAATGAATTTTTTTTATTTCAAGGACTTTTTAGTCAAGAATCAAGTTTTTATATAATATTTTCAAAGATTTCCTGGACAATAATCGTAGAGTTTTTCAAGAATTTATACTAAGGACGTCCTACCAAAAAAAACATACATTTTTTATTTTTTTTTTAAACTTCCCTTTTTTGAAAATTTATTTTTTATACACAAAAATTCATAATTTTTTAAGACAACATTCAGATCAAGAATTGTTATATGGAATATCTGCACAAGAATTGTAACAATTTATAAAAATTTGAAAAATCCCTGTAAGGACATCCTAACCAAAAATTGCGAATTTTTAAAAAAATAGATTTTCTGTCTAAAATATGGTATTTTTCTAGAACTTCGTGGCCGAAAGACCGAAATGGATTTTATGGAAACATTTTTCAAAATATTTTTACAAGGACCAATATTTCGAAGTGTTACATAATTTTTGGCCCAATCAAACTTATAATACCACCAACACATAGTGTTGTAGGGTATAATAACGTATGGCTAAAATGGAAGAATTTCTGAAAAAAAAGTTTTTGAAAATATTTTTCAAGTCTTTCAGACCAAAAGTCTTCAAGACCAAAAAATTGTAGATTTTTCAAGAATTTTTCGAATTAAAAAAGTAAAAAGGACCTTTGTTTCGGCTGTGCCGAACTTTCCACCATTTGAAAGGAACTTGCAAAATGTAGTCCATTGAAAAATTCAGTTTAATTTTTAAAAGTTCGAATGTGATGTCCTGGCCTATTGAGAACTCCAAATATCAAATTTAATGCGATCCCGGTGAAAAATTTGATACAAATCATCAAAATACCAAATATGGGGGAATTGTTACTTGAAGACTGTATCTAAAGTTGGATGTATATGGACAAATATAGAGACTACAAATAGCTAATTTACAGCAAACTATATTCAAAAATATAACTAAAACCGTCAAAATACCTTAAATTTGTCGGTACAGTTATGTAAGGGTTTATAACAAAATGTTAACCGATATCATCTCATCTTCAAAAATTCTTAGAATTTAAAATGTATTCCAAAATATAATCAACAAAAAATCCATCACTACAAAAACAAAACTTTGCTATGAAAAAAGATCTGCCAATAGAACTTGAGTCGAACCTGGAGAGTTTCTAGTGTATAATTCGCATATGCTAATTTGCAATAAGTTCGAAATATATACTACTTTCCAGAGAACGGCCCTTGTATGCCATCATCCACACCAAATATGCCTGATGAGCCGCTTAACCAACGGCGAAACGCGTCGCATAGTGGTGAGTGTGTGATAGTGTCTATCTGGCTTTCCTTTTCACTGCAAATTCCTGATCATTAAGCTCGTCTCGAAAGAGAAAACAAACACATAAATCATAAAACATATGATCTTCGCCTTAACAAGGCAAAACTCAAAAATTCAGCCGAGCCTGGCTGTGGGATTTGAACCGCGGACCTCGGTGTGCAGCCAACTAGAAGTTGCCGTCTCTACGTTCAGAGCCATTAACCCGTCTTCCTAAAGCAGCACTAAAACAAGTGTATGCATTGGAAGCAATGTAGTTGTTGTGGACAAAAAATCCATCACTACAAAAACAAAACTTTGCTATGAAAAAAGATCTGCCAATAGAACTTGAGTCGAACCTGGAGAGTTTCTAGTGTATAATTCGCATATGCTAATTTGCAATAAGTTCGAAATATATACTACTTTCCAGAGAACGGCCCTTGTATGCCATCATCCACACCAAATATGCCTGATGAGCCGCTTAACCAACGGCGAAACGCGTCGCATAGTGGTGAGTGTGTGATAGTGTCTATCTGGCTTTCCTTTTCACTGCAAATTCCTGATCATTAAGCTCGTCTCGAAAGAGAAAACAAACACATAAATCATAAAACATATGATCTTCGCCTTAACAAGGCAAAACTCAAAAATTCAGCCGAGCCTGGCTGTGGGATTTGAACCGCGGACCTCGGTGTGCAGCCAACTAGAAGTTGCCGTCTCTACGTTCAGAGCCATTAACCCGTCTTCCTAAAGCAGCACTAAAACAAGTGTATGCATTGGAAGCAATGTAGTTGTTGTGGACAAAAAATCCATCACTACAAAAACAAAACTTTGCTATGAAAAAAGATCTGCCAATAAAACTTGAGTCGAACCTGGAGAGTTTCTAGTGTATAATTCGCATATGCTAATTTGCAATAAGTTCGAAATATATACTACTTTCCAGAGAACGGCCCTTGTATGCCATCATCCACACCAAATATGCCTGATGAGCCGCTTAACCAACGGCGAAACGCGTCGCATAGTGGTGAGTGTGTGATAGTGTCTATCTGGCTTTCCTTTTCACTGCAAATTCCTGATCATTAAGCTCGTCTCGAAAGAGAAAACAAACACATAAATCATAAAACATATGATCTTCGCCTTAACAAGGCAAAACTCAAAAATTCAGCCGAGCCTGGCTGTGGGATTTGAACCGCGGACCTCGGTGTGCAGCCAACTAGAAGTTGCCGTCTCTACGTTCAGAGCCATTAACCCGTCTTCCTAAAGCAGCACTAAAACAAGTGTATGCATTGGAAGCAATGTAGTTGTTGTGGACAAAAAATCCATCACTACAAAAACAAAACTTTGCTATGAAAAAAGATCTGCCAATAGAACTTGAGTCGAACCTGGAGAGTTTCTAGTGTATAATTCGCATATGCTAATTTGCAATAAGTTCGAAATATATACTACTTTCCAGAGAACGGCCCTTGTATGCCATCATCCACACCAAATATGCCTGATGAGCCGCTTAACCAACGGCGAAACGCGTCGCATAGTGGTGAGTGTGTGATAGTGTCTATCTGGCTTTCCTTTTCACTGCAAATTCCTGATCATTAAGCTCGTCTCGAAAGAGAAAACAAACACATAAATCATAAAACATATGATCTTCGCCTTAACAAGGCAAAACTCAAAAATTCAGCCGAGCCTGGCTGTGGGATTTGAACCGCGGACCTCGGTGTGCAGCCAACTAGAAGTTGCCGTCTCTACGTTCAGAGCCATTAACCCGTCTTCCTAAAGCAGCACTAAAACAAGTGTATGCATTGGAAGCAATGTAGTTGTTGTGGACAAAAAATCCATCACTACAAAAACAAAACTTTGCTATGAAAAAAGATCTGCCAATAGAACTTGAGTCGAACCTGGAGAGTTTCTAGTGTATAATTCGCATATGCTAATTTGCAATAAGTTCGAAATATATACTACTTTCCAGAGAACGGCCCTTGTATGCCATCATCCACACCAAATATGCCTGATGAGCCGCTTAACCAACGGCGAAACGCGTCGCATAGTGGTGAGTGTGTGATAGTGTCTATCTGGCTTTCCTTTTCACTGCAAATTCCTGATCATTAAGCTCGTCTCGAAAGAGAAAACAAACACATAAATCATAAAACATATGATCTTCGCCTTAACAAGGCAAAACTCAAAAATTCAGCCGAGCCTGGCTGTGGGATTTGAACCGCGGACCTCGGTGTGCAGCCAACTAGAAGTTGCCGTCTCTACGTTCAGAGCCATTAACCCGTCTTCCTAAAGCAGCACTAAAACAAGTGTATGCATTGGAAGCAATGTAGTTGTTGTGGACAAAAAATCCATCACTACAAAAACAAAACTTTGCTATGAAAAAAGATCTGCCAATAGAACTTGAGTCGAACCTGGAGAGTTTCTAGTGTATAATTCGCATATGCTAATTTGCAATAAGTTCGAAATATATACTACTTTCCAGAGAACGGCCCTTGTATGCCATCATCCACACCAAATATGCCTGATGAGCCGCTTAACCAACGGCGAAACGCGTCGCATAGTGGTGAGTGTGTGATAGTGTCTATCTGGCTTTCCTTTTCACTGCAAATTCCTGATCATTAAGCTCGTCTCGAAAGAGAAAACAAACACATAAATCATAAAACATATGATCTTCGCCTTAACAAGGCAAAACTCAAAAAAAGATCATTTCGTTCGGAAACTAGAGTGATTTCCATAGGTGGGTAGACAGGAGTTACAAAGGGAATGCCAAACATAACATACCCTCCATAGAGACTACATACACAAAATCATTGGATTCCAAGGAATCATAATCCCAATATTTAAAAAAAATGCGGAAGAGGGAATTACTTTTCTCCTCTATTTAGGTTACTTTGCGATGAAAACTTTTAACGCCTTTTTTACTTTCTTAATTTGCTTAATTTTCTATTTTGCTATAATTTTAGAAAAATTACTTTTGTCTCACAGTTTCATTTCATTTTCTGCTTTTTGTCTTATAAGTAATTTCTTAGGCTTTCCGATATTTGCATTCATTTTTAAATTAATAAATAAAAAGGTTAGAAAGTAAACAAGTAAGCAAATCCTATAGTCGTACGGGGCCGACCATGTGATACCCTACAACACTACAATATATTAGAAGCCCCTTATGTCCGAATCCATTTTGGAAGATTTCGCTTTTGAAATTATATCACGGAGCACTGGCAACATATTACCCTTAGCATTTTGACCAGGAATATTTGCCCAATATTTATGCACTTCATCGTGCTGTTAGTTGTTGTGGTCCATTTTACAGCTAAATATAATCCAATGGTCATCCGAAATGCTAGACTTCTTCCCTGTCCTTAACTCTCTTCTCAGGCGTGTTTATTGGCTTCAATTGTTTGATCAGGATTTTTTTTTTCCATTTTTGGTTCATTTTAACCCCTAAATATTTTGCGATCATCTCCAAAAGTAAGAGTCCTCTCTGTATTCCAAATTTACACTCATCTCTATGATTTGCTTGTCTACGATATTTGGCTATATTCGTCAACGAAATCAGCATAAAATACCAGAAGTTCGCATTTTGTGTACTTCGGATATCGCCTGGAAGTAATGTTGGTATTTTTTCATACAAAAATAGTGGACCATTCCAAACGCCGTCCTAAACTCTAACTTCATGCGAGATTTCGTGTCCCTTGGTTTAAATTTGTGACCTTTAAATTTGTGAACCTTAACATTTTTAGTTGTTGGTCCATTTCAACCCCTAAATATATTGCGGGCATCTTTGAAAACAATAGGCCTATCCCTTCTGCGCCTTACCCTACCCTTGAGAAAATTTTCGTGATAATCGGACGATAATTGCAATCTGTATATAATAGCCACAACCTGTGTTGTAAGGAGAAAAAATATTACAAAATGTACACCTCAATATTATAAGTCAAATTTAAAAAATCGCCTGCGATAAAAAATTTCAAAAAATAAATAAAATGTCTACAAAATCTATATTAACATCATTATTGGCATCTTGTTATGCGATTTTTTTAGATTTTATTCTTTTATGCCAGGGGGCATTCAGAATTGACCAAATTTGTCAAAATCGGTCCAATCATTCTTGAGATATAAACATTTTAGCTAACATCCCCTTCCTTTGTTTATACACATTGTATATATTTCGCTATATATATCCGATATATTTACTATCGGCATCTACGTAACGGTCAGAATTGACCTCTTCGTCTATTTGTGATTTCGCCGGGACTAAAAATATCCGCGGTTTAATTGGCCCAATCAAACTTATAATACCCCCAACACATAGTGTTGTAGGGTATAAAAACTAAAATTTGGATGTTCCATGTAAGAATAGCCCCCATTTTCAGTCAAATCAGCTGTCATTTAACATTTCGAATTATCTGTGGTTAGATTTACTTATCGCCATAAGACTTTAGTGTAATGTACACTTTTTGTTATGACCCTATACCTCCTCTTGCTTTTTCTTTATTTTAAAGGTTTTAGCCATAGTTTTCAGTTAAATTTAATTGATGTTATAAGTTTAACAAAACAATTTCAAATTTAGGTATATATATTTTGAACAACAGTGTACTATTTTATTTTCGTTTTCAAATATATAGCAATTAATTTATTTAACATTGCATACTTTTAGGATGACTAAAATAACCTATGCTATAAATATGTACCATATTCGTTTAGCTATAAAAGAGCAGATCAAGATTAAAAATAAAACATTTTAATTATTTGATTTTTAGATATTTAATTCGACCTTTATTATATATTGTTACAAATGTAAATTTAATAAAAAACGAGCTCGAGGTCTTTGTTGTGGTTTAATTATTTATTATTTTCGATATTTCGTCCTCCAACGGAAGACATCATCATGAAAAATACTGTTTAAACATATAACAAAATTTACAAAATATCGCCAAGCTTCGACGTCGACCTTGTGTTGCTGCCATCTGTTTGGTTTAAACTTTTGAAGCCAGAAAAAAACAATAAAACTGTCTAAAATCAATTTTTAAACCCAAAACACTATTTTTTGGGGGTATTATAGGTTTGATTGATTTTCTTATCTCGCCAAGCTGGATTGATCTAGCTAGGTGTGTCCGCCTGCCGATATTATTATGCATTCACTGTACAGGTAGCAATTACAAACCGATCTTCACGAAATTTTGCATGGAGTAAAGGTTAGTTTAGTAGAAAGTTGATGAAAATTATCGCAAAATATTATGGGGATGAAATAGACTAAACATTTTATCAATCTACACATATTATTTAATGTTTGCATTTCAAATAGCTTAGCGCTGAAAATTGTGTTTAAATGTTTTTGTGGAATTTTTAACAAATTTCAGACGCGTGACAGTTAAAATAATAATATCCACACTTTTGAAACATTTTTCTAAATATTATATATTGATATAAAACTAAATGTTTAATTAACTTAATTTATTTCCAATATCCATTGTTCTGGAATACAAACATCGCCATTGTTTCTATTGAATTTGACAGAAAATATTTTCTCCTTAAATTAGCTTCAAACATAAATATTTGCAATATAAAGACACTGGCGACATTTTCCCTCTATAAAACATTTGCATATATAAACTTCGCCGTTAAGCCACACTGCATTTGAGTACAGTTGCCAATTCAATAGACTTCAGCATGGAACGTTGGCAAAATAAGGTGGCCGTAGTTACGGGAGCCAGTTCGGGTATTGGTGTGGCAATTGTCAAAGATTTTGTTATGGCCGGCCTTCAGGTTGTGGGCCTGGCAAGACGTAAGGAATTAATTGAGAAAATTCGGAATGATCTACCCGAGGACAAACGTTCCCATCTTATGGCCATGTATTGTGATGTCAGCAGCAAGGAGTCGGTGAATGAAGTCTTTGACAATATTATTTGCCAATTTGGTGGAATTGATGTTTTGGTAAACAATGCCGGCTGCTTGAAAAAAGGACAATTGTCCACCATGGATATTGGTGATGTGGAACAGGTATTACACACCAATGTTATGGGCATTGTGGCCTGTACCCAAAAGGCGTTCAAGTCGATGAAGGATCGTAACTTTGATGGTCATATTATTAATGTTAACAGTATTGCCGGCCACGCAGTGTTGACTGGAATTCCACCCCAAATACCCAACACAAATATTTATTCACCATCCAAATTTGCCGTGAGTGCGATCAATGAGATTTATCGCAACGAATTTCGAGATTTGGGAACAAAAATTAAAATATCGGTAAGTTGTCGAGATTTTAAGGTTTTTTCATTTGCTACTGTAGGTAATAGATCTTCACTCTGGGTGATAGAAAAATAGGAAAGTGAGAATTCGAAGGTAATCGAGTAATCATCTCGCATTTTGTGAGTTATTTTTTATACCCTCCATCATGCATAGCATGAAAGGTATATTAAGTTTGTCGTCATCGAAATATTAATTTTAGACCCAACCTTAGTCGATTTAGCCCTGACCCTCCGTCCGTCTTTTGTCTCCGGGAAGGTCGAGTTCGTTTTCATATAGCCCCCGTCTGATTATAGCTCCCCATATTCGGTATTTTGGCGATTTTAGACACTTACTAACGCAATAATTTAAAATTCGGTATTTAGAGTTCATAACGCTTTCTACCCCCAGTGGCAGAGTATTGTCTATATAGGTCCATGTTTTCCAATAACTCCTATAGAACGGTACCTATCCATATTATTCTGAAGATTTTAGCCACATTGTCGAACGCAATAGTTAACAATCTGAAATGAAGAGATCAAAATGGGTTCTATTTCCTGTGGCAGAACATTGTCTATACCGGTCCGCGTTTTCGTATAGCACCATAGCCACTTGTGGTTTAAAATATAAAGAAATCACACAATCTCGCTTGAACTCCATTACGAAAAACATTTTCTTTTTCTGGAAAATTCTCACCAAAATGCTTTTGTACGCTTGTAAATAATATAATGAGCTGTCACTGGAATAATTTTAAAAGCTGTCGGACGAGTGGCTTAGAAATGACAGCAGTCTGGTTGCAGTTTATTCATCTCACCCTGTATTTTCTTGATCAGCATAAGATTCTATGTCAATTTAGGTCAGTGGCATTTTTGGTATTGAAAATGAGTCACATAGGTCCACGTTCAGACATAGCCCCCACATATCTACACCGGTAGATAACATATGTTTCCGAAGTTTTATACACAATTTTAAGTTAAATCTACTATATATTGGAGGTTTGTTTACTCAGTATGTACGAAGCATATTTGCAGAGACCTATCCATATAGGTCCGAATTTTGATATTGACCCCATATAACTATATTATCGATATTTTGACGTATTGTGTTACACTTTTCACCGGAATATTTTCAAATTTGGTATTTGTAGTTGATAATAAGTACGTCCTCCTTTAATAGTATGGCCTCTACATAACGGTACTTTCCTATATTCGTTATTTTTCAAAATTGAATTTGTTTGAAAATTGAATTTGGAGTTCGCAAAAGACACCCCTCCTCTGAAAGAGAATTGGTATAGCCCAATATAACTATACCAACTGATCAACGGATTTTGTATACCCTTCTCCATACATAGTATATGGATTTAGACATAACAATGTATATATACTCTTGATCAGCGAACCGGCAGGCAGGTCAAGTTCGAAGATGGGCTATATCGGTCCATGATATCGTATAATCCCCATATAACGATACCCCCAATGTTCGGAATTTTGATGATTTTAGCAAAAATTTTCAATGGAATTGTCAGGAAATCCACACCAGCAGCTTCTTCTGAGTACTTGGTCCATGATATCGTATTGTCACCGTATAACGGTACCTCCCGATAATCGGTATTTTGATGATTTTAGACAAATTTTTCAATGGAATTGTCTCAAAATCCACATAAGGAGTTCCTACTGAGTACTTTACCCCCTGAAAGATAATTTTCTATACAGGTCCACGACATCGTATATCCCCATGTAACGGTACCTCCCGATATTCGGTTTTTTGATGATTGTACCCAAGTTTTTTATCGGAATTGTTTCCGATTTTGTATTTAAAGTTCGTAATGGGTTGTACAGCCTATGACAAAAAATTGCGTATGCAGGTTCACGTTTTCGTATTGGCCCCAAGGAGTTCCTTCTGAGTACTTACCCTCCTGAAAGAAAATTGTCTATATAGGTCCACGATATGGAATATCTCCCATACAACGGTACACCCAATATTTGCTATTTTTATAATTTTTAACGAAATTTATTATCTGAATTGTATTCAAAGTTCATGATGGATACTACAGCCCATGACAAAAAATTATTTATCCAGGACTACGTCTTCGTATAGCCTCGATATAACGGTTTCTCTTTAAGAAGCATTTTCGACGGATTTTTTTTACATTTTTCAAATTTCTTTAAAATGGTACAGTGTATTAAAAGCTCGGCCCAGCCGAACTTAGTTGATTTTTGACTCATTTTTTATTTAAATTAATCTTGTATCTTTTCAGAGTATTAGTCCCGGCTTCGTTGACACCGATATTGTGTTTGATGACTTGCGCGAAGCGTTAGGCCAGTGTATGCTCAAATCGGAATATGTCTCAAATGCCGTAATATTTATACTCTCAACACCGCCGCATGTTCAAATTCATGATTTGATTATTAAGCCTGTGGGAGAATTAGTTGCGTAAAACCCGGTTTGGAGAATAATTGTTCTCTGCCTCCTGCTTCTCAAATGGGAATACTACATTTCAGGTTAATAAAGTGCAATTTATATTCAATTCGTAGTGTTATTCTTTTTGTACAAGTTCCTTATAATAAAATTCGATGTCGCAGTATTGCCTATGTTTGGGGCTATAATTAATTCTAAACATGTCTATTTTTACAATATATGAAGGTTTTGCTTTCATCCGCATGTTTATACGAACAATTCACATATGTACATACACATGTTTGTTTGTATGTACACATGCATAATAATAATACTAATAACAGCAACACATGCCGCAATTGTTTACAGTTCTAAAATTGCGCTCAAACATGGAACGTTGGCAAAACCGAGTCGCGGTTATAACTGGCGCTAGTACGGGCATTGGTGCTGCTATTGCTAAGGATTTCGTTAATGCAGGCCTGCAAGTTGTTGGTCTAGCACGGCGCAAGGAATTAATTGAAGAAATTCGTAATGCTCTACCAGCCGAGAAACGTTCCCGCCTCACTGCCATGTATTGTGACGTCACCAGCAAGGAGTCGGTGAATGAAGTCTTTGACACGATTATTAGCCAATTTGGTGGAATTGATGTTTTGGTAAACAATGCCGGCTGTGCAAAAGAAGGACAATTATCTTCAATGGATATTGATGTTATGGAAGCGATTTTACACACCAATGTCATGGGTATTGTGGCCTGTACCCAAAAAGCTTTTAAATCGATGAAGGATCGTAACTTTGATGGCCATATTATAAATGTAAACAGTATTGCCGGCCACAAGGTGCTGACGGGACCCCCGCACAAAGTGCCAATCACAAATGTGTATTCACCATCGAAATATGCCGTCAGTGCTATGACAGAAATCTATCGCAATGAATTTCGAGAGTTGGGAACAAAAATTAAAATATCGGTATGTGATCCTTTGTTTACTTTTTTTTTCAAACATTTATTTGCACAAATGCTTTGCATTAAAAGAAAAATATAAAATAAGTAATTTTGACCAAGTTCGACAAAAAGAAAAATTTATAATCTGTGTTCAATTTTCGAATCATTAGCAAATATGGAAATATTTAATAATCTAAAGACAAAGAAAGAAAAAAGAGCTCCTGAGTTACTGCAACTCGTTAAAGAAGAAAACGAAATTGTAGTATTCCAAGCTGAACTGCCATTATATGTAAAATGTTCCATCAAAGCATCATTTTAGAAGGATGACGCCAACGGCAGAATTATTTTTCTTCAAATTTCTCTCTAAGCTACCAAAAACAGAAATCAGAATCAGAAATATTTGCTTTAATGCTGTCCGAAAAGCTGAAAATATTATACTTTATAAAATACCCTCTGCCTGGAACGTAACCCCCCCCTCCCCCCCCCCCCCCCAAAAGAAAAAAAAACAAAAAAAAAACGAAATAAACTTATAATATAAGTTTCCAAGCAAATTGTTTGGAAAATATAGCCAAAACCTTTGCAATACCCCAAATTAGGATTTCAGAAAAAGCGCTAAATTTGTCGAAAATAATATCATTTGATACGGCCAAAATGTGCCTCATCGAAATAACGGTTTTAGACCCTAGGTCTCTTTGGACCAAATCCGTTTCAGGACATTTGGAGTCGATTTAGCGATGTCGGTACGTACAGCTGTCGGTCCGTCTGTCTGTCTGGCTGGTGCGCACGATAACTCTTGAAGGGAGTATCGTATTTGCTCCAAACTTGATACATCGTAATAGTATTGTCAAACTTAGATCAAGTTCGGAGATGGGCAAAATGGGTCCACTTCTTCTGGTACCTCCTCCAAAAAAAAGTAGAAATTTTCAAAAATATATATATTTTAATGCACAGAAAGAGAAAGCATAATCTAATGATGCTTCAACTTTGCAAATCATAATATTTGCATCAGTGCTAGGACAGGTGAGAAAATAGACAATATCCGTACGGTTCACTCCATCAAGTACCTCCTCCACAAAGGTTCAAAATGTTGAATAATTATAACTCTTAAAAAATGTGATGCATGAGTCCGATTGTCCTCAAATTACATCCATCACAATATTTTTATTAAACCTAGGTCTGGCGTGAAGATGGAAAAAATATATCGGTCCACTCCTTCTGGTGGTACAGGGTAACATTTTTGAATATCAATGAAGCTCATAAGACGCCCAATTAATATCCGATTCCATTCAGACTTGGTACATCTCAATTTTTCTATCAACATAAACCTGTTATAAAGGAGGTAGAGATCGGACCATTCCTTCTGGTACCTCCGCTACAAAGGGTTAACATTTTGAATAACCAGCATAAAATCCGAAATATGCATCTTTTCATATTCCACATATCCCTTTATTTATTCTAACACAAGATCTGCTGTGAAGATGAGATATGTCGGTCCACTCATTCTGGTACCTCCCCCACAAAGGATCAAAGTTTTAAATAACCAAAGCGATTATAATATCCGAAATAAACATCCGGTTCTTTTCATATTTTACATATCACAATACATATTTTTTTGACCCAAAGTCTGGTGTAAAGATGAGGTACTCCTTCTGGTACCTCCCCCAAAAGTTTCAAAATTTTGAATATCCGCGAAGCTTCCATTCAGACTTGGTACATCTCAATATTTCCATCAACACAAGATCTGTTATAAAAATAGTACAGATCGGACTACCCCCACACGAGGTTCAAGATTTTTGAAAAACAAAACGCTCAAAGGTCAGATACGAATTGAACAATATTGTCCAACTGCTTCAGAATAACTCAAGGCTGGGGGTATACATCTGTCAGCAAAACCGACGGATACTATTTTACTTGTTTACATAGAAGTTATGGTCCATTCACCCGCTAAATATTATTCGATAATCATCCGAATATGAAAGCTTCCGCCTAGCCCCAATTTATAGCTACATCCAAAATTCCGTCAATTTGCCTATGATTGCGACCTCTAGAACAACTGTAAAATCAGGATTTTTCTGTATTTTGTCCATTTTAACCCCTAAATATTTTGCGATCATCTCCAAAAACAATTTGCTATTCGGACCTTTACCCCACCTCCATGCAAATTTTCGTCAGGATCAGGCCATAATTGCGATCTGTTGCGTAATTACATGGTCTGCCGGACAGACTGACACACATAGCTAGATCGGCCCAGCTGGCCGAGACAGGAATATATATTTTGGACCAATATTTCGATGTATTACAAACTTTTTGCCTCAATCAAACTTATAATACCCCCAACACATGGTGTTTAAGGTATTAAAAAGAGTAGGAATGAAGTCCTACTCTGTAAGCAGTGTAGTTTTTCCCGCAACAAAAAAGTTGTTCTTATTGTCAAAAACAACACCAACAACAGTGCTTAAATTAAACTCGATTATTTTGAAATAACAATTATTATTATTATTTTTATTTATTTATTTTTATTTTGTTTTTTTGTTTTTTTTTTTTTTTTTTTTTTTGGTTCTCACAATTCAATAACTTTCTTTCATTTTTCAGAGCATTAGCCCCGGCTTCGTTGACACCAACATTGTATTCGATGAAATCCGCAGTGTGATAGGTCAGTGTATGCTCAAACCCGAAGACGTTTCAAATGCCGTTATGTATATGCTCGCCACCCCGCCACATGTTCAAGTTCACGAGATGATCATAAAGCCGGTGGGAGAACTTGTTTAAATCAAAACAAAAAAACACATTTGGACATGAAAAATATGTACAACGTAAAATGTATTTTACAAATAAACGTTAATGAGTTCATTCACCGCATAAATATCTACAAATCTACACCAATCAAACCTAAACAAGTTTGTTTTTACTATTTTCGATATTTGACAAACGTTTTATGGTAAGTCTGTATTGAAAACTACTACTTATCGCGTGTGGCAAAAAAATGTGAGTGATCGTTTGTGGTTTTTAGTGTGTGTGTGTGTTGATGTAAATGAAAAACTATTAACGCCTAATATAAATATAAACATCTAATATGAGTTCACTAGCAAAGTTTAAAATCTATTTAACCCTAAGTTTAAAAACGAAATGTTTAAATACGATGCTATCTTTGCTAAAAAATAATGCTGATATGCTTTGAGGCTCAAATGCGATCGGGATTATTTGAATAATTGTATGGCTAGATGGAGGTTATGTCCATCCACATTTTGGCTGTACCAGGTCCACCGTTTTGTATACCGATCTAGCTAGAAGCATTACAAAAACTTGAATGATAATTGCAATGCCTTGTCAGGTACGGCCGAGATTTAGGGGTTAAGAGAGCCCTCAGAAATATCATAATAACACTGTGTAACTAATTTCATGAAGGCAGTTTTTCAAGTCAAAAAATTTATACCCTTTGAAATCGTCCAAATGTTTAGTTTTCTAGTCTTTCCACTTGCGTTCTGGAATACTTGATAATAGAAAGTGCTATATCTACAAATGCACTTTTAAAGATGTCAGTTCTTGATAATAGGAAACTATGTTATATGACGGGTTAATCTCTGTCACATTCTTCCAATTCATATATATAACCAGAAAGGAAGACATAAGAAGGGCGGTATCGATATATATAGTTGAGCCGATTGTCATTATTTTGTCATTGTTTGACCTACTTGCTTCTAGGCTTTGGTACTCTTTGACAAAACTCAAACTATTTGGGCTAATATTAATTGTTTTGTATTCTTGAAATTGGAGGAAGACATTTATCAGCTCTGTATCCAAATCAGAACAGACTTCGTCAAAATTTGTCAAATTATTATACCCTCCGCCTTGGAATGAGGGTGTATTAACTTTGTCATTCCGTTTGTAACATCCCTAAATAAAGTATATATATTCATAACCAACATAAAAATCTAAGTCGATTTAACGATGTCCGTCTATCTGTTGAAATCACGATACAGGCCACATTATTTGACGTAGGGCGTTAAAATTTAGCAGAATAATTTTTATTGTGCTTAGGATGGTTGGTATTGAAAATGAGATATGTTGGTCCACGTTTTGGTATAGTCCCCACATAACGGTACCTCCCGATATTCGGTATTTTGATTATTTTTGCCACATTTTTTCACGGATTTGTCTGAAAATTGGTATTTGTAGGTCATAATGGGTCCTAGTTCCTGTTGCGAAACATTGTATGCATAGGTCCACGCTTTAGTATAGCCACCAGATCTTCGATATTTTTATGGTTTTTTTCACAATTTTTCGCGGATTTTTCTAAAAATTGGTATTTGTGGTTCCTATTCGGTATTCGGTATTTTGATGATTTTTGCCACAGGTCATTTCAAAGACCTATATCTAAACCTATACCTATATCTAAATTTGGTCCGATTGACGCCCATTTCAATAGGGTTTGGGCTTGGGAACGATCCAAAACTTTATCGCAATCAAACAATAAATGTGACCTATTATTTCTCACAAAAATACATGGACATTCGACCGGAATGTGAGTATATGAAGATCATCAAAAGCAAGTACAGGGTTGCCCATATTCGACGGACCCATCTGGCAACGCCATAACTTTTGACAGAGATGTCACATCGCTTAATGACATACCGCGTTTGAAGCGTCAGTCCAAGCAGATTTTTACCACATTTAAAACATTAAAAAATGTGAGAAGTGCGCCTTCTAAGAACACCATTAAGCGCTTATACGAAAAATTTTCGACTGGTAAGGCTCTTTCTAGTCCGAAGAGGCCATATAAAAGTCGACCAAGGCGATCGGCCGAGAATATCGCTGCCGTACGAGCCAGTGTTGAGAGGTCCCCAAGAACATCCCAAAAACGCCGTTCTCAGCAGTTGGGTATGGCTCGGTCCACTTTACAACGGATTATTCGCATTGATTTGCATTTGTTCCCGTACAAAATGCAATTGACGCAAAGAATGTTGCCTGCGGAAAAGCCTCGTCGATTGGAATGAGGTCCGTCTAATATGGGCAAGTATGGGTTCAAACAAATGCGGAAAGGCATAATACCCTATAACACAATTTGATGTCGGGTATAAACATGAAGATAACTGAAATCTGTCATATATTATTTTTCTCATTTATTCTTGTTTTCAATGTAAAGGAAAATATGTAAAAAAGAGCAATTCTATTGCGATTTTCTCTTGTAATAAAGGGTATATCACAAGAGAAACGTAAAAATTATTTTAATTGTTGCCCAGTGTAATTAGGGCATAGTTTGTTTTCGTAATTTATTTCTGTTTGTTTTTCCTCTCTTTTCCGTTGACCTTAATGACTAAGCATGTTAAGAGAAAACATGTAAAAAAGTTAATTTCAGTCACGCCGAAGTGGTTTAGCCCTACATCCCAAAAAACGTATGTCTTTGAAAAAAGAAGATTTCATACTATTTTTATATGACCACCAAATAATAATTTCTGCTGTCGTCCGACAGCTGTTAAAATTATTCTAGTGACAGCTCATTATATTTTTAACAAGCGTACAAAAGCACTTTAGTGAGAATTTTCCAGAAAAAAAAGTTATTCGTGATGGAATTCAAGCGTGATAGTGTCATTTCTTTCTAATTGGCTGGAAAACCACAAGTGGCTATCGTTAGAGCACTCCAGCATTTAAATGTGAATAAATCTTTTGTATCTCGTACCATCGCTCGTAATACTGGTAGCGTAGCCCGACGTCAAGGAAGTGGACGGAAGAAAACAGCAACATCAGCAGAAATGGTTCGAAAAGTAAATATGCGACTTGATCGAAACAGGCACCTCAGTGGCCGAAAAATGGCTCGGCAGCTGAACATATCGCAATATTCCATTCGGCAAATATTGAAAAATGAGCTTGGGATAAAGCCATTGGAATTTCAAAAAGTGCAAGAACATACACAGCAACAAAAAAAAATAGACTCAAAAGGGCTAAAAAGTTGCTTCGCTTGGCCGAAAGAGGTGAACTGCCGAATTTGGTTTTCTCCGATGAGAAAACCTTCGTTGTCCAGCAGTTTATGAACAAGAGGTCAGTTGAAAATGTGCACCTTCGGTTGGCCACCAGAACTCAAGCGCCGGCCTTGGTGATGATGTGGGCCGCCATAACAGTCGATGGTCGCTCTCCGCTCGTATTTATCGACCGTCAGAATAAATGCCGAATATTATGGCGAAAATATTCTGGAGGGTATATTAAAGCCTTGGGGACGCAAACATTTTGGCCACAGACCTTGGACATTCCAACAGAACGCAGCACCATCGCACTCACCACGCGCCACCCAAGAATGGTTACATTCTTGCATCATTTCCAGCGCACTGCAGCCAAAAAAATATACGGATACCAATCCGTTGGACCATTGTGTCTGGAGTATTTTCGAAAGCAAGGTTGACACTAAAAAATACCAAACTGTCGATTACCCCAAGCAAGCACTTCGCCGGGAATGAGCCAAAATACCGCGGACCAATGTTCGGGCAGCGTGTGACGGTTTCATTGGCCGTTTGAAGGCCATAATTCGTGCCAAAGGTGACCAATTCGAACAAATCTAAACTTGTTCTAAAATTTGATGCTATTTCCACCATTTTTTTTTTCTTTCATTCAATAAAATTTAAAAAAAAATATGTCAAAATTATGGCGTTTGACTTTGTTGCAGTTTTTTTTTTCTGCAATGTATATGCCCTGTATATGCTGCCCAATTTAAGTTTTTTTTTTTTTTTTTGAAATACTAGAAATTCATCTGTATATAAAAGAGTAGTGAAACTACTGACTGACTAAGAATCAACGCCTAGACGAAACGGCTGAAGCTAGAATATTGAAATTTTGCCGAGGATCAGTCTTGGTGCGTAAGCGTGTGCTAAGGCTGTGTTTTTGAAATTTCGAACTAAAAGGGGTACGAAAAATAGAAAACATTGAAGACTTTATTTTGGATATTCGGAGTGAGCTAGAATTATAACATTTGGAAAGAAATTGATGGAGAGCAGGTACAGGAGGTACACCTACGGGTTGCCCATATTCGACGGACCCATGTTTGTGGCGTGTCCGCAGGCAACATTCTTTGCGTCAATTGAATTTTGTACGGGAACAAATGCAAATCAATGCGAATAATCCGTTGTAAAGTTGTCCGAGACATATCCAACTGCTGAGAACGGCGTTTTTGTGATGTTCTTGGGGACTTCTCAACACTGGCTCGTACGGCAGCGATATTCTCGGCCGATCGCCTTGGTCGACTTTTATATGGCCTCTTCGGATTAGAAAGAGCCTTACCAGTCGAAAACGCTTAATGGTGTTCTTAGAAAGGGCACTTCTCACATTTTTTTCACATTTAACTTCTTCTGTTGAATGTAAATTTCAACTATTTCAGAGCGCTCGGGTGGCGTGTATTGGTTCATGGTAAAAATCTGCTTGGACTGACGCTTCAAACGCGGTATGTCATTAAGCGATGTGACATCTCTGTCAAAAGTTATGGCGTTGCCAGATGGGTCCGTCGAATATGGGCAACCCTGTATCACCAAAGAATTTTTACAAATTCGAGGTTTAAAGTAACGAAAAGTCCTAAAATGGCATTAAACTTCTAAAATAGCTCCATTTGTTAGTACATCAACAGATAAAGCTTAAAATTTGAAATTCGGAATGAGAATCAAGGTTAGAAAGTAAGTTTGATATATGAAGGTGGTTTTGGAAATGTGTACTAAATGTAGAACAGTTTGGTTTAGGGTGAATGGATGAAGCTGGAATTTTGAAATTTTATATTGGAATTCCTGTTGGTGATAGTTTCGTGATGCATACATAGGTTCCATATGAAAAGGAGAGCTTATAGAAATTTGAAACTAAATTCCAACATATGAATCACTTATGGTAACATGTGTATGGTAAAACTAAAGATATCTATCAGGGTGACAATTAAGCCAGTGGAGGCAAAATTGTATGGCCCTTCTACCGATATAAAAAATGTATTTGTATAGTTTCTCATTTTCCAAACCAAGAAATATCAAATTTCGTCTAATTTCATTCAAAATTATAACTTAAACCTTAAAACACAACTGAAGAAGTGTGGTAGCACCTGCTTATATAATGCCAACTTTACCAGTAAGGGTGACTGCAAATAACTGATTTTGTGTTCAACTTGTTCAATATGTATTTTTTCAATAATTGAAAATATGTTATCTCTTATGCAATCTAATCAGAATTTATTTAGAATTAGAAAATGAATTGCAAAATTAATAAAAAAAGAAGAAACCTCACAAGCGTTCGACAATTTAATCGCACGCCTCAAAACTCTTCGTCATCATCAAAGCGAAATATGTTTGTAGCAGCACATACGTCACAGCCAACATTCGATTTTACATATATTAGCGGTGATTTAACATTTTCATTATAACAACAACAACAAAAAACTATTACAAATTTGTCTAAAGGTCATTGATACCGTGGTAAGCGCAGAAAAAAAAAACTAGCGTTTGATAATTATAATATTACTTGGTGTTATCGCTCACTCAACCAATCGATATTGCCTTATCTTTTCGAGTTTGTAAAATAGACAGCTATAACTGGGTAGAGCAAAGTCACGCTAGTTATTAGTTGGCAAAAATTATTCGATATGGAACGTTGGCAAAATAAGGTAGCTGTTGTGACGGGTGCCAGTTCGGGCATTGGTGCTGCCGTTTCCAAGGATTTAGTTGCGGCCGGTGTCAAAGTTGTTGCCTTGGCCAGACGCAAAAATCGTGTTGAGGAAATCATTGCCAGTTTACCGGCAGAACAACAACCCTTGCTAACCGCCATCGAATGTGATGTTTCCAATTTGGATTCAGTCAATAAGGCATTCGATGAAATTATTGCCAAGTTTGGTGGTGTCGATATTCTAATCAACAATGCCGGTTGTACCAAAAATGGCCAATTGGTCACAATGGACCCTGAGGCGATACAAAGTGTTTTGCAAACAAATGTCATGGGCATTGTCTATTGCACGCAAAGAGCCTTCAAATCGATGAAGGAACGCGATGTCAATGGCCATGTGGTGCTAATCAATAGTATTTGTGGACACAAGGTGATTGGTGGTGTTGGCGGTACGCCCGTGACAAACATCTATTCACCAACGAAATTTGCTGTAACAGCTCTCACCGAAATGTACCGACAAGAATTCAATGGATTGGGTTCTAAGGTTAAAATCACGGTAAGTAAAATTTTAATTGATGTATGTAATAGAGTAGTGAAATAACTGACTGAAAATCAAGGCCCAGACGAAACGAATCTGGAAATTTGGCACGGGGGTCAACCTCGGTGCGTATTCATGTGAAAAGACTGGGTTTCTGTGAAATTCGTACTAAAAGGGGACGGCAAACTTAATGAGCTAGAATTCTGAAATTTAGAATGAGAGTCACTGATGGAAGGAAGAAAAAATGTACCAAACGATTTTTGGAAATTCGGACTTTAAGGTTAGGGAAAGTTCTAAAATTGTACTTAACTTCTAAAATGGTAACATTTGGTATTATGTGAACATATAGATTTATAAACTTGAAATTCAGTTAGGAATCGTGGTTGGAAAGTAAGTTTGATATATGAAGGTGGTTTTGGAAATGTGCACTAAATGTGCGAGCTGTACTAAATGGTACTACATTTGGAACAGTTTTGTTTAGGGTGAACGAATGAAGCTGAAATTTTGAAATTGTATTTTGGGAAATGTGCACTTCAGGTATACGAAAAGTACTTAATAGCACGACAGGGTGAGATGAAAAAAATGCAACAAATTCAAAAGTCATAATTAAGCTTTTTTGAAATTTTATTGAATGAAAGCAAAAAAAGTCAAATTTTACAATAAGTTTGGATTTGTTCGAATTAGTCACCTTTGGTACGAATTATGACCTTCAAAGACCAATGAAACCGTCACCCGCTGCCGGAATGTAGCTCTGCGGTATTTTGGTCCATTTCCGGCGAAGCGTTTGTTTGAGGTGATTGACACTTTGGTATTTTTGTGTGCCAACCTTGCTTTCCAAAATACTCCAGACACAATAGTCCAACGTATTGGTATCGGGAGATTTTGGTGTCCATTGTGAGCTGGGAATGACCCGAGGAACCACATTTTTTAACAATTCTTGGATGGCGCGTGCTGAGTCCTGTTGGAATGTCCAAGGTCTGCGGCCAAAATGTTTGCGTGTCCAAGGCTTTATTACACCCTTCAGAATATTTTCGCGATAGTATTCAGCATTTATTCTGATGCCACGGTCGATTAATACGAGCGGAGAGTGACTTTTTTCTGAAAAAATCTCACCAAAATGCTTTTGTATGCTTGTAAACAATATTATGAGCTGTCACTGGAATTATTTTAACAGCTGTCGGAAGAGTTACTTAGAAATGACAGCAGTCTGAAGTTGGTTGCAGTTTTTTCATCTCACCCTGTCTATTAGGTACAATTTGGTATTAGGGGGAATAGATAGTATTTAGAATCTGAAATTTAGCCTTGGGGTCGTTTGTCATGTCTAGCCTGGACAAATGAAGGTGGTTTCGGAAATGCGTGCTATAACTGTACGAAAAATACTAAATGGTACTAAATTTTGGACAGTTTGATTTAGGGTGAAAATTGTATATTAGCGTCCCTGTTGTTGGTAGGTATTGGAGGAAGGAACAGATGAGAATTCCTGAAATTTTATATAGATATCACTGTTGGTCTTTGTGGTTAAGATAGGGAGGTGGTTTTGGAAATAAAGTACACATTGTTCAAAAAGTACTAAGTGATATTTAATTAGGGTGAAGGGATGGAGCTGGTATCCTGAAATTGGATATGGATGTCAGTGTTGGTGTCTGTAGTTGATAGAACGATGTGGGTTTGGAAATGCGTACTATGAACGTACGAAAGGTGCAAAATGCCACTGGTTGTTGGGATAGAACTTAAATACTCAAATTTGATATTGAGGTCATTGTTGATTTCTATGGGGACATTGAAATAGTTCTAGACTGAAAAGTTGGATGTGGGCCGATTATGAAATGGTTTTACTAATATCCTTCTCCTTAAACTCAGGTTTTGGAGACTTTTTGGTGTAAAAGGTAAATATGTTCCCATTATCCTTCCCGAAAAATAAACAAGTAGCTAAGTTCGGCCGGGTCGAACTTTTAATACCCTCCACCATTTGAAAAGAACTTGAACAATTTCAAGAAACTCCAAAAAATACCGGGGCTATACGAAGACGCGGACCTGCATAAGTAATTTTTTGTCAAAGTCTGTAGTACCTATTAAAATCTGCAAATATGATATTTAAAAAAAAATCTGGGGAGTAGCTGAATGATGTTGTTAAAACCATCAAAATATCGAATATCGGGAGGTATCGCTATATGTTGGCTATACGAAAACATGGACCAATATGGCCCATTTACAAACTTAACCTGCCTACGGGGAACATACACATGCCTTAGCCTTCTATCTCCATTCGTTTGAAAGATAGCGTGATTACAACGTCCAGGCAGACAGACAGACACACGAAGTTTTACGCTGATCCAGAATACATATACTTTGTAGGGTCTATCATGAATATTGCGAGGAGTTACAAATGGAATGACAAAGGTAATTTACGAGTACCCTCCTTAGAATGGTGGGGGGTATGAAGCTTTGGATACTCCCTTCGAAAGTAATCGTAAGCACCACCCAGTCAGATAGGCAAGCGGGCGGACGGACACCGCTTGATCGACTCCACAGACCATAAACGAATTTTTTCTAAAGGGACCTAGAGTATAAAAACGTTTTATCGATGAGACACGTTTTAGTCGTATCAAATTATATATACCCTCTGTATCCATATTTCTGAGACCAACGGCAGCAGTTGTCGCTCAAACCCTTTTTTACAAAAAGATAAACGCTAAAAATAATAAAAATTAAATGTTTGCTACTTAATCAACCTTCCGAAATAGTTTTTAATCGAATTATTTTTTCTTCTTTGCAGAGCATCAGTCCTGGTGCTGTCAACACAGAAATAATGGGTGATGAACTGAAACAAATGTTGGGTCAACACATTCTCAGTCCACACGATATCTCCAATGCAATCCTGTACACCATTGGCACGCCAGCAAATGTGCAAATTCACGAAATGATCATCAAGCCAGCGGGTGAATTGTTTTAAATATCTAATATAATAAATAAATCTTTGTAATAATTCCCATTAAATATAAAAAAATAAAATCTTAATTTGTTGTAGATACATAATTCATGTTTTTTTGTCTGGTAGAACGTTATGGTGAAATTAAAAAGCAATTATTGCCAGACAACCAATCATTTCTTTTTGAAGATGCCATTAATAAAAACAACAACAACAGCGGAATATGCTGCTCATCAAAAAGGCATTCGTCCAAAAATTCGTTTAGTCATTTGCCGGCTACACACGCAAATCCACACCCACACATAAGCATCTGTTAATAATTATTTTAATAATGGCCAATGGGATCAAACCATGGAATATCTGCAATTAATATTTTATGTATGTATGTCTGTATGTACTTCAAATCTCATTTTTTCTGGCATTTTTGTTTTTATTATTTGTTGCTATTGACGCAAATTTATGAGTATCCTTCAACATATTTTTATTCCCCCTAAGTGTCATGGTCAGTAAGATGATGGTAAGTAAAAAAGTTGTGATAAATCGGTAGTAAAATTCGAATGGCATCATTTTTTATACCCTCCACCATACTATGGAGGGTATATTCATTTTGTCATTCCGTTTGTAACTCCTCGAAATACTCATGTCAAACCCAACAAAGTATATATATTCTTGATCAGCGTAAAATTCTAAGACGATTTAGCCATGTCCGTCTGTTTGTCTGTGTGTCTGTCTGTCTGTCTGTCCGTCTGTCTGTCTGTCTGTTGTAATCACGCTATCTTTCGAACAAATTGAGATAGAAGGCTAAAATTTTGCATACATGTATATTTTGCCAGTAGGCAGGTTAAGTTCGAAAATGGGCCATGTAGGTCCAAGTTATCATATAGCCCCCATATAATGGTACCTCCCGATATTTGGTATTTTAATGATTTAAGCGACATTATTTAGCGAAATCGTTCCAAATTTGGTATTTGAAGTTCGTAATGGATACTTCAGCCCATGCCAGAAAATTGTCTGTGCAGGTCTACGTTTTCGAATAGCCCCCATATAACGGTACCCCCAACATATTCGTTACTTTAATGATTTTAACTACATTATAAACAGATTTTTCTTCAAGTTTCACATTTAAATTATTGTAACAACTTATGACAAAATATGCCTATGCAGGCCCACGTCGTCGTATAAGCACTCGGTATTCTTAAGATTTTAACAGAATTTTTAACGGATTTTATTTTTTGAAAATTGCCAAATTTGTACCAAATGGTGGAGGGTATTAAAAGTTCGACCCGGCCGAACTTACAGCTTTTTTACTTGTTTATTTTCGGAAGCTCACAATGGACTAGTTCCATGGAAGTTGTTTATTTTGTTTTGGAATTTTTCACAGCCCACATTGGCTATTGGTGAAATTAAAATTATTCGACAATTTGTAATGAATTTGGAAAAAGTGCTAAATTTTTCGAAAATAAACTATTAATTTTTTTTTGTTCAGAGACTAGCAATTATATTGGATCTGGAATATTTCTTCCTTTGATACTTCCCCAAAAAATGAAGAACTCTGTGAGATTTTGACTTAGACTTGAATTCAAACAGGTTAACATTTAATTATCACTTGTAATATATAAAAGATTAATGTAACTATCTTATAAACTATTATACCTAGATCTATGTGTTGGGAGTATTATAAGTTTGATTGGGCCAAAAATTATGTAACACCCCGAAATATTGCTTTCCACATAGAAAAATATATATGGATCTTCCTATATCGCCGAGGTGAGTCGATCTAGCTATGTATGTCCGTCCGTCCGTCTGTCCATTTGTTAATTTGTAATCATTCTACAGGTCGCAATTATGGCCCGATCTTCACGAAATTTAGAACGAAGGTGGGGCTAGGGTCAGAAAATAAACCTATTGCTTTCGGAGATGATCGCATAATATTTAGGGATCGAAATGGACCAAAAACTGAAAAATTTCCTGATTTTGCAGTTGCTCTAAAGGTCACACAATTATGAATCAATTGACGCATGGGGCTAGAGCTAAGGGCTGGGCAGAGCCTTACTATTTGGATGCCATCGGGTAATATTTAGTGGGCGAAACAGACACTAAAATTTGTGCAAATTTTCCATTAAACCGCGGATATTTTTAATCCCGGCGAAATCACAAATAGACGAACAGGTCAATTCTTACCGTTACGTAGATGCCGATGAAATTATTTCGAATATACGTAACGAAATATATACAATGTATATATACCAAGGAAGGGGATGTTAGCTAGAATGCTTATTTCTCAAGAATGGCAGGACCGATTTTGACAAATTTTGTCAATTCAGAGTGCCCTCTTGGCATTAAAGTATAAAATCTAAAAAAATCGCATAAAAAGATGTCAATAACGATGTTAATATAGGTTTTGTAGTATTTTATGGCATTTTTGTATTGTTTTCATAATTTTTATCGCATGCGATTTTTTCAATTTGACTTATAATATTGAAGTGTATATTTTGTAATATTTTTTCACCTTACAATACAGGTTTGGGTTATTATATACAGATTGTAATTACGTCCGATACTCAAGAAAAATTTCACAAGGGTAGGGTTAGGCTCAGAAGAGCTAGGCATATTGTTTTCAAAGATGTCTGCAATATATTTAGGGCTTGAAATGGACCAACAACTAAAAATGTTCCTGATTTTGCAGTCGTCACAAATAGAAACTAATGGACACGAAATCTCCATGAAGTCAGAGTTAAGGACAGCGGGTAGAATGGACCACTACTTTTGTGTGGAAAATTACCAACACTACTTACAGGCGATATCCGAAATACACAAAAGACGAACTTCTGGCTTTGTATGCTGATTTCGTTGACGAATATAGCCAAATATCGTAGATATGCATATCATATAGATGAGTCTAAATTTGGAGATACAGAGGGGTCTCTTACTTTCACAAAATATTTAGGGTTTCAAATGAACCAAAAGCGGAAAAAAATTCGTGATTACACAATTGAAGCCAATCGACACGTCTGAGAAGGGAGTTAAGGACAGAGAGGAATTCTAGCATTTTGGATGACCATTGGATTATATTTAGCTGTAAAATGGACCACACAACTAAAAGCACGACGGTGTGCGTAAATATTGGGCAAATGTTCCTGGTGACATAATTTCAAAAGCGAAATCTTCCAAAATGGATTTGGACATAAGGGGGCTTCTAACATATTGTAGGGGGTTGAAATGAACCAAGAACTAAAAATGTTCCTGATTTTGCAGTCGTTATAAAGGTCACACGAAATCTTGCATGAAGTTAGAGTTTAGGACAGTGAGTAGAATGGACCACTACTTTTGTGTGAAATAATACCAGCATGATTTACAGGCGATATCCGAAATACAGAAAAGGCGAACTTCTGGCTTTTTATGCTGATTTCGTTGCCGAATATAAGTAAATATCGAAGACAAGCAAATCATATAGATGAGTCCAAATTTGGAGATACGGAGGGGCCACTTGTTTTTCAAAATGGAAAAATATTTAGTTACTCAAATGAACCAAAAATAGAAAAAATCCTGATCACACAATTGAAGCCAATCGAATTCTAGCATTTTCTAGCGGCAGTGCTCCGTGACATAATTTCAAAAGCGAAATCTTCCAAAATGGATTTTGACATAAAGTGGCTTCTAACATATTGTAGTGTTGTAGGGCATCACATGGTCGGTCCCGCACGGCTATAGCCTTTGCTTACTGGGTTCTCTGGGTTTAGGTCAAACCCCCAAAGGAGTTTTGGGTTCTTTGGCCAAATGTTGTTTATGTCCTTATTTAGATTCGACCATATATAAAGGAACCCCTATAATTTAGGTATATTTCGCTATACTTAAGATATAGCTTTGAAATTTAATATAGATCTTTAAAACAGAAAATATGAGCCCTGTTTATGAAATGGTACCCTGGTAAGGATAACTCCGATTGTACGATTTTTTTTTACGTTTTTTACCATTTAATATTGCCAAAATTTTGCATTTTGAGTTCTTATTATGTAGAAACGCTATTTACAATAATTATAATGTAGATCAGTCTTTTGGAACAGCCTGATTTTAGTTATTGCACGGATCTTGGCCATATTTTCCAATCGATTTGGTTTCTTTGACCGTTTTCGTTCGTCAATTGTGGAGGATATCAAAAATGCGATATGATTGCACTTAGGGATTCTTTTTTAAAAAATCTATTCCACTTTAACCCGGCCTTTTATTTTGGCTATTTCTCAAACTATCCACATACATTAATTTCATACAAGTTGTAAGGCTACAGAGAGCCCTTTGCAGTTACACGAAAACCAAATTCAAACTTCAACAATTGCCCTTTTTTGTGCTAAAGCCTTTTCCATTTTTGCTAAATCACTTCAAAATTAGTTTTCACAAAAGCAAAAGAAAAGTTTGTTCATGATTTTGCTTTTCTATTTTCTTTTTTAGCCTTTTTTTTTGCAGTTTTTAGCCTTTACCTAGTATCGACTTTAGCCATTTCATTTTCAAATAGTTTAATGTTTTCTTTTACTTTTCTTTGAGTTCTTTTTTTCTTCTTCTGCTGAAATTAGCAGTGCTTATTGCCTTTGCTTCGACACAAGTAAATTTAATGAAATTGCTCCAAGAAACAATCTTCATTGAGGCAAGGAATCTCCAGGCGATTATACCAACACTTCTTTGGCCATTATTTACACAAGTGTCTCATTCTTCATCATTGCATTGCATTCATCGTCTTACCATTACAGTTGGCAGCCAATGTTGAACTTAACAATGATTTCCGTTTTGTGTAACGAAAGTGTCGGCAGGTGAGCTTTGCCACTTAAAGAGCCAACACGCCAGCCAAAGTCAAGTCAATCCTTTCCATTTCTTTTCTTTTTTTTCTGCTGCTGATAGTACACGTTTCCGGGGTTAAGTTGTTGTTTTTTGTTAATGTCATTTTCAAACTGCATTCCAACATCGGCAGTTCCTTTTTCAGGTGATTTTTTTATGGCCGATAGATAGATGGATGGATAAAAAGTACAAATTGAGTTTTCCGGTTTTATATGTGCGCTGACATGTGTTTATAGTATTC